ATGAGTGTATTGCCTGCATGTATGTGAGTGCACCCGTGTCGTGCAATGCCACAGAGGTCAGAAGAGACCTTCGGATTCCCTTGGAACTGGAGTTAAGAACGGTTCGTAGCCACCATGTGGGTGCTGGGAATCGAACCCGGGTCCTCTGCAAGAGCAGTCAGTGCTCCATCTGTCCAGCCCCGTGAAGGTATGTTTTTAACTGCTGCATTCACTCCAAAGCCCATTCATCCCCTTCAGCATCCCAAAGAAGAAACACTTCTGCCTAGCTGGATAAGGAGGCACACACTGCATCACCGATCTCACAGGACTGCTGCCGCAAAACTAGACCTCTGACTCAGGACTCCAGTTCACTTTCTCACAGGTTATCATCCTCATCCTGGGGGTCAGTCGTCTGAGCAACCTCTAAATTATGCTCATACCCTGCTGACTCTCCCATTTTTTGAGAAAGGGTCTCATTATGTTGCTCAGACTTGTCTTTAATTTGTTGGCCTTCGCCTCCTGAGTAGCTGGTACTGGGGATGTGAGCTACCATCCATACTGAGTTTTATAGCACATATGGAAGAAAAAGCGGGGGGGGGGGGGGGAAGAAGCTTGAGTTAGTTTTATGAAATGATTAACCAGAAGGACAAATGATGAGCTATCTTTGTCAGTTATGTTTTGAGACTTCTCACAAACAGTGGAGTCCACACAGTGGTTCCACAAGGAAATGAAAGACTATGCACTTGACATCTTTTAACATACTGAGTTGCTAATATAAGGGGCCTCTATTCGTTATCATAGAGGTTCATAGTAAAATATGGTTAATCAACAAATACATTGGTTTAGCTTTTTAAATTTTATTTATTTAATTATTTATTTATTAATCTTGCTGTATAGCCCAGGCTGGCCTGAAACTTTCTATGTTGCCTTAGCATGGCCTTGAACTTACGTTCCTCCTGCCACAGCTTCCCAAGTGTTGAGATTACAGGTGTACAATACACACTTATCTAGCTTTGGAATCTTTTTAAAAATGTATTATTTTTATTTTACATGTATGAGTGTATTGCCTGCATTTGTGTAAGTGCACCCATGTCATACAATGCCAGAAGAGGTCAGAAAAGGCATCAGATCTCCTAGAACTAGAGTTACAGATGGTTGTTAGCCACCATGCGGGTGCTGGGAATTGAACCCAGGTCCTCTGCAAGAATAGCCAGTGCTCTTAACTGCTGAGCCATCTCTCCAGCTCAGCTTTGTACATCTTTACTTGGCTTTCCTTTCAGCATAGAGTGATGTATTTTTCAGCACAGCACAAGAATATTGAAGCATTCTAGGTCCAAGAGATTTGCTTGTCTTTCCCTTTAATTAAGTTGACTCCCTTTAAAAGATGCATTTATGATCTGAATATGCTATCATGCTGATAACGT